GGGCTTCCCAGGATGGGAGCTTTCACTGCTAACGGCAGGAAAGTCCGGGGCCAACTGAGACCAGGTGGTCACCCTTATCCTGACTCCTCTGCCTGAGCTTTCCCTTGGTGCTCACCTAAGTCTTCCTTATCGTGCAAGCCTCAGTGGATTCTGTTCCCAACAGAGCTCCCCCCGGATTCCCAGCTGGAACGCATCTCTTCACAGGGCCAAAGCTCTGGGCTGATGCTCTTCCTGTGATACTCATTTCCCTCTCTCTCCAATGAGATAGTTTTCTAATTATGGGCCCGGCGGGGGGGGGGGGGAGGGGGCCAGCACACGGGGCCTGCACCTTGGTTCTTTTCACCAAGTCAGTGCTTGATCACGATCATCCAACTGAGGGGCACCTGTGTGGCTTAGTTAAGCGTCTACCTTCGGCTCGGGTCATGATCCGGGGTCCTGAGAACGAGCCCCACGTCAGGCTCCCTGCTCAGTGGGGAGTCTGCTTCTTCCTCTGCCTCTGCTCTTCCCCCTGCTAGTGCTCTCACTCTCTCTCACTCTCAAACAAATAAATAAATCTAAAAAAAAAAAAAAGATTGTCCAACTGACTGGGAAGATGTTCAGAATGACTAGGCCCTGAGCATCTTCCTCCTCACAGTCCCCAGACTTCTTGGATTTACTGGCAGAAACACACCTTGCAGCCCCGGCCTCCACCCCCTCCATGAGAATCTTTGAATCGCCAAGAGATGCAGGAAATTCCAATTGAATCTAGTAACCACAAACAAAGCTGAAAGTAATTCTTCAGTGGATTCTTGCCAAAGAATCCTGGCAGAGACTATCCCTGATGGAACTCTGTGAATGAGCAGAAAACACATTACATGCCCCAGACAGAGGATCAGACCGAAGCCTCTGCATCCCTGTTTCACAGAAACGAGAGCCCAGAGCAAAGAGAAATTACAGGCAGGATGGAAGAGAGAGAAATTTCTCCTTTGAAATAATGGCCCTGGGGCAGTGTCTAAGCCTATCAAGATGTGGAAAAGGAAATAACCCTCACAATGAAGTTAGGCCAGAAGGATGTGGTAAGAGCTTCTGAGCGATTCCAAAGTTCAATCCCCAGAGCTCCTTCTGAAAAGCGTCTTCTCTGGCCAGAGGTGGTCAGCAGGGCATGCTGCTTGGCATACACTCTGTCATCTTAAACATGGAAACTCAGCTTTGTAGCCAATCATCCTAATGGTATGTTTCACAGAACTCTCAACAGGAACAGTGGGAAGAGACAGGTGTAAAGGTCACGATGCCTACGCAGATTTGGACAAACACGATTCTACCAGTCTGTTTTCATTTGCCTATTTGATCTGTGGAGCGTTGCTATAATGTCATCTGTCAACTTGGCACAGTAATGGGGGCAGAAAGGGCTTTCTTTCCGCGAACTTTCAGCTAAGGTCTTTGACAGTCTAGCTGTCTATGTAAGATGGAGTCACGACAGTAATCAGGCATCAGCAAAGATCCTAATCATAGTGGCCTGGTTGGGCTAAGAAAAGTGTGGACTCCTAATTCGGGACTCACTCCCTCATTACCAAGAAGGGGCCCACAGAGGACATAGCCTCCCTCCGGCAGAATACCATTTCCAAGAGAACTAAGTCAAGGCCTGGATAGGCTTGTGTCCCGCTTTGAAACTGTGTTGCTTCCGGTGGAAACGTCGTGGACTGTCACTGTGTCACATCTTCTGAGTTTCTTTGCAATAATGGCACTAAGTTCAACGGCCTATATATTATTCAAAATATAAATCAAATTCATCTTTAAAAGTATGGCTAGTTCCCAAATGAATCACATTTGCTTTTCTTCCCCACGATTTAAATTTTCCTTTATTTGGGTACTATTATTTCAATAACAGCAATGCAGATCTATCCACATATCAACGTCTCTACAGATGGACTATATAAACCCTCTGCAAATCCCACTAAAATTATTTAATAGGACTTAACATTCTATATTTACAGGTTCAATGTTATTTTAAAGTTAAGTGAATTTGAAATGACAAATTATATGATCCTGCTCTCATGAATTCAAGCCATGGAAGAGCCATCACAATATTCCTTTACTTCAGCATTACACGTAAGATGTCATGCCAGGTCAAACTAAAGATCACATTTCCTGTCCATCTAGAGTTTTTAAAGATTTTTTTTTTTTTTTTTTTTTTGACAGAGAGAGAGACAGGAGACGGGGAACACAAGCAGGGGGAGTGGGAGAGGGAGAAGCAGGCTCCCCGCAGAGCAGGGAGCCCCGATGCGGGGCTCGATCCCAGGACTCTGGGATCATGACCTGAGCTGAAGGCAGACGCTTAACGACTGAGCCACCCAGGCGCCCCCCCATCTAGAGTTTTTAAAGAGTTGTCGATGAACTGGAAGAGGCAGGTAAGGAAAGGTCAAACCGAAGACGTTTCTTCTTAAATCCGAAACATGAGGCAACTGTGGTATGAAGAAAGCTTTTAAGGGGTACTTGGAAACAGACACATACATATACACGTGTGAGAAATAAAATGAAATTTTTTAACAAGGATAGTTTTTAGATTTTTTCTAATTTATTTTTGAGAGAGCGAGAGAACGCGTGTGCATGTGTGTGCGTGCACGGGCAGGGGGTGGGGAGTGGCAGAGAGAGAAACTGGCTTCCCGCTGAGCAGGGAGCCTGATGCAGGACTCGATCCCAGGACCCCGGGATCATGACCTGAGCCGAAGGCAGACGCTTAACCGACTGAGCCACCCAGGCGCCTGAAATAAAATGAATTTAAAAATACGGTTTGGAGAACCGACCTTACCCCAGCTAATGCTTCATGCAGTCACACCTACCAAAATAAACAAACAAACAAACAAAGACTTTTAGCTAAACAGAAGTTCTTTTTTTTTTTTTTTTAAAGATTTTATTTATTTATTCATGACAGACAGAGAGAGAGAGAAGCAAGCTCCCAAGGGGCAGGGAGCCCGATGAGGGACTCGATCCTAGGACCCTGAGATCATGACCTGAGCCGAAGGCAGATGCTTAACCATCTGAGCCACCCAGGCGCCCTAAACAGAAGTTCTTAAGCTAACATTTTAAATGTTTAACTTTGACAACAAATATTAGCCCACTTATGAAACTTTCTTACTCCGTCCTTCTAACGGCGGCCACAACACCTTGCCATCTCACAACTGGTTCTCAAGGTTGTTCTCAGTGCTCAGGAAGGCTCCTGTGCCTATTGGGTCTATGGGGGTACGTGTGGAGGGGGTCGGGGGGGGAGCAGTGTTCGGAAATGTAGATGGCTTCAGAACAGAATCACCAGTAGATGGACCCATAAAGAACCTTTGCAGTCATGTCCCACCTTCTCATTCCATAGTCAAGGTCACCTACCCAAGTTAGTGACAGAGATGGTAGATACCCTAGGTCTCCTGAGCCCTACACCCAAAGCATGGGCTCTGGCCAGAGGACCTGGTATCACATCTGAGCTCCACCACCCCACCATGAGGGTTGTCTTGAGCAAAGTTCTTCACCCCTCTGAACCCCAATTCTTTATGGGATAAAAATATTACTGACCTCACAGGGCTATTTTAAGAGTTAAATGTCATAATGTATGTAAAGTTCCTAGTCCTGTATCTGGCACATTGTAGGTGGTCAATAAATATTAATGGTTTTTATAGGATAATATTTACTTAATATTAACCAGTTTTATTTATTTATATTTATTTATTTATTCTAACTACAGTATTAAGAAGATACTGGGAAAAATTAAAGCCAAGCAGTATTTTTACACAATAACAACTCAGCATGTTCTTTAGCCAATAAAATATTTTTAAAGAGTATTGACTAACATAACATAATTAAATAAAACTTTAAAAATAATAAAATAAAATAAAATAAAAATTTGCAGTGGAAAAAAAACAATTAACTTCATATTCAAAATAATATGTGAAGGTATTTATTTCTGTTCTCTCTGAAGACAGTAGGTTTCAAGGATGTTCTGAGTATTTCCAAATTCACAGAGCTAATAAATGGCATGCTCAGGATTGAATAAATAAATAAATAAATAAATGAGTATTGAAAACACCTATTTTGATAACGGACACCAGAAACACCAACAGGTCTCAAAAATCAAAGCATAAACTGTTGTCCAAAATGCCTGCATCCAAGGGAGGTGATTCCACTTTTGACACATAAAAAAAAAAGAAATTGGGCGCCTGGGTGGCTCAGTTGGTTGGGCGACTGCCTTCGGCTCAGGTCATGATCCTGGAGTCCCTGGATCGAGTCCTGCATCAGGCTCCCTGCTCGGCAGGGAGTCTGCTTCTCCCTCTGACCCTGCCCCCTCTCATGTGCTCTCTGTCTCTCTCATTCTCTCTGTCTCAGATGGGTAAGTAAAATCTTTAAAAAAAAAAAAAAAAGAAATTTAGTTTTTAGCTTTTTCTGTTATTTTGCCAAGTGTATGACTGACTCGTGTGGAAAGCTGCTTTATTGAGGTATAATTCACGGTATCGTAAAATCCTCCCATTTGAAGAGAAAGAATTTGGGAGTTCTTAGTATATTCGCAGCGTGTGTAACCAGCCACAACCGAGTTACAGAACACTGTATCAAAAACTAATGAGGTACTGTACGGTGACTGACATAACAAAAAAAACCTTTTTTTTCATCACCTGAAAAGAAACCCTGAACCTATTAGCAGCCATTTACTTGCTTTGGAATCCATCCATTTTTCTACCGGTGTTTGAACATTTCCATATCTGACAAGTTTCACGCCTATTTCAACCGCAGCCCCTCCCTGGCTTGTTTCCTCTTCCTGCCCTCTGCTCCTTTCATTTAGCACATCTGCACTTCTCGGTTAGCCCTGCGCCTGCTTTCTGTTTCGTCTTTTCTCCCGTTGAGAGCAATCTCCAGGCCTGGCTCTTCAGTAGAGAATCTTCAGTGCTCACAGTACCACCGCAATCCCCTTGCCTGAGTCCATCCCCAGGTCCAAGGGGCTCCAGCCTTGGCAAGGCGTGGTCAGGAAAGACATCCCACTCAGCTACAACACCATGCCCACATGGTTACGACTTGGGCATAAAACACATTTATTGGTCAAAACGTTATAAACCGAGAGCATTTAAAAAGCACACAGCAACAAGTCCAATACAGAAAGTACAAAAATTCGCCATCTCCTATAAAGATTTTAACAAGAAATAAACTGTTATTTCACAGTTTTGAGCCATATAAAGAAGGAAACCCCTGGTGACGGGTATTAAAGAGGGCACGTTCTGCATGGAGCACTGGGTGTTATATGCAAACAATGAATCATGGAACACTACATCAAAAACTAACGATGTCATGTATGGTGATTAACATAGCATAATAGAAAAAAGGAAGGAAACCGCTTCGATAAATGTCTCCAGTTTTTATTTAGAGAATGAAACGGTTTCTTAGGAACACCATGCCTAAAGGTCACTGTGCAGCTGGAGAAATCTCTAGCAATTTGTTTTCCATATACTAAGAAAGGGAGACAGTCATTTGAACACTCCGCATGCCCAGAGGAAGACAAGGGACGGTGGCAGAGGAAAAAGCAGTCTGCAGATAAAGCTCCATCTCCCACTAAATGTCATTACCATGAGAGAACAAGGGCCAGGCACAGACCATAGAGATAGAGCCAGAGGGGACCTCATAAAGATCATTCACTCCTAAGAGGAAGGAAAGAGCCCAGGGCACCCAGCCAGTTAGTGGAGGACCAGAGGCTAAAGGATTATTTGAAACAGAAGCCCATGGAAGGTAGAAAAGAATAGCACAGCTGTGTTTTCTGGTTGTCTCCGCATGACTGTACCCCACATGGGACAATTGGAAACCAACCAGACCGAAGGCTCCAAGTGGGTCTGGAAACGGAGCAGGGGAGGATTAGACAGCCCTTAGGAATACAAGATCAGATTTATCTTTATTCTCAAGAGAGCCTAAGATAATTCTTTTTTTTTTTTTAATTTTTATTTATTTATTTGACAGAGAGAGACACAGCGAGAGAGGGAAAACAAGCAGGGGAAGTGGAAGAGGGAGAAGCAGGCTTCCCGCTGAGCAGGGAGCCCGATGCGGGGCTCGATCCCAGGACCCTGGAATCATGACCCGAGCTGAAGGCAGACGCTTAATGACGGAGCCACCCAGGCGCCCCAGCCTAAGATAATTCTTAACCAGAATCTAAGAGCTGTTAAAAAAAAAAAGCAGCTGTAACAACCCAGCTGGATGAAGCTAGAGCCAGAATGGGCTTAGGGCTGTCAGTATGGTGACAGATTTGCTTCCACTTCTGAGTAATGGGACTGCCTGGACCTGTATTAATGGTCACAACGTGACAGAGAGGGAAGATCTTTCACTCACCCTGGGCATAAAGCACTTTGCCTTATCCTGCTGCTCAATAATATATAGGCTCTAGTGGCTTAGCTTGTTGTTGAACAACTTGGACGTCCCCCAGTGCACATCACCAAAATAGCTCTTGCAGAAGGAAAAAATCAACAATGCGGTGTACCGGTCTCAAAAAAGAAAAATGTTCTAGGTCCCAAGAAGACAGAGCTCGCTTCAGAGCTGTTAAATCCCTTACATTTCAGGAGTATTTTTAATCATGCTCTGTGTTTGGACACTTGAGTTTTATAGAAGGATTCACAGGTTGATTAATCAATAATTATGGAAGAGCCATATCTCCCTCCTCCTGTTCCATCAGGGCAGAGGAATACGAATGTGGAGTGGGTGCCAATCCACATAAGCTGCTGCGGTTCAACTGCTTCATCTGCAGAAGGACTAATGCCAGACACGAAGCCCCTTCTAGCTCCAGAACTTGGCTTCTATTGACACAGTCTATTGCACTTCCAGCTTAGCGCCATAAGCGTTCACCCTCCCAACCCCCAGAGAGCGTTGAAGGCCCACACTCCATTGGGGGCAGGATCAAAGGCACACAAGATGCAGATTCTACTACCTCAGGATCCATCATCCCATGAGCAAACAATGGATGGAGTTAGACCTTCTTCGCCTTCCCATATAAGATATGGCACTAGGCTGTATCTGGGAAGGATTAAATCAAATAACTGATATATAAGGTATTTGACAAATTCCTTGGTTTTAAATATAAAAAGCTGCTTCTGTATTTGCCATCCTAGAGAAACTGGCACAACTAGGTGGTTATATGGAAGTTGCCTTGTTTCTTTTTTCCTTTGAAAAGATATACAAATTCTATTTGAAAGTAACTCTCCCAGCCCCAGAAATAGGCATTCTATCACTTAGTTTAAAAAAGACAAATACAGTATGAGAACTGGCCATCTTGGCTACTGGGGAAAAAAACCCAAAAAACAAAAACCCACCACCAATCAACAAATCCCATCCACGTTGTCTCTTGTCCGAGGAAAAGAAGACAGAGTAAATGCACCCAAAACGTGTTTTCATATTTGTCACAAACCTTGGTAATTTGCATTGTGGGTGCGGTGGTTTGGAAGAATTGCCAAGTTACAGAAGTGTGGACATTGCATCTCGATTCTACCTTCTGTGCTTCCCAGGACAGAAGCGTACCTTCTCCTGAAGGCAGGGATTGTACTTTTAATGCTATGCACACAATAAAGGCTTACTCATCGTCCCTGCAGTATATATACTTTGATTGTCTCCCTAGTCCCAGTGAAAGGTTTTCATAAATCATGCAGCATCTCTTGCCCTGGTTCCCGTTGGGACACAGCAAAACTGGCTGGCCCTCCTAAGGACCAAAGCTGCAACCTTCAATGTGAGCATAATCGACTTAGCTGGATATGGATAATTTCAATCCTTCTAGCTGCGAGACAAAGGAAATGACTCAGCTTGTGCCCAGTATGCAAGAGAAACAGGAGACAGAAATGTCCAAATTAAATCATAAGTGCACATTTTCTCAAGGCAATTAGCTCAGTTTCTCTTACTGTGTCCTGGGGTTATTTTTCTTGCTGTTATTGTTAGGCTTTGCTATTTAAATTTTATGTGCAATTACAGAGTAGATGAGAATCTTTAAAACAGAGGCGATTTCTGTCACACTATATTAGTGAATACAATATATGGCTCACATTTGTGCTGTAGCAAAAATTCATGTCCACATCTTCATCTGCAATCTGTAGGACTATAAGGAGCTTCCTTGTACACTCTGACTTTATGAAGGGACTTCTGGCTGGATTAAGACCTCTGGAGACCCAGAGAAAGAAAAAGAGATAAAATCCCTAATTTGTACCTAAAAATAAGATCTTTACAGATGCCAAAATTAAAGTTGCTGATGTCTGGATTTCTGAAATGGCAAAATTTGAGATAAATTCATCAGAGCAAAACTTTTTTCATTTTTCAGTGCCTCTGTTTTACTACATGTGGGCTTTAACTGCTTCCTAGATGACCCAGCTGATGTTGGGGGGCTCAGCTTGGCCCCCACTACCAAGTACGAGATTAAAAATCATACCTTCATGAAATCACAAGAGACTATGTGTTGTGAGTTCTTAATAAGTTTCCCTAAAGGAATGAAATTCATGGGTTTTATAATAACTTAAAGGTCTTTACTGTTGTGGTTATGTGGCCTTCACAGCTCTATTCTGAAGACTGACCCCTGACCAGCGGGGGTGCGTCATTTTCCATAAATAGTGCTCCTGGATGCCTGGCTGGTGTCGAGTAATACCAAAAAAGGATTTATAGTCAAATTTTCTCCATCTATGAAAAATAGGTTGTGCCCTATTCCCTGCTTCGATTACAAAATTGATCTAATTTCAAGGCCATGGGTCAGTGGACTCCTGGATTGCTCAACCAGCGTGAAGCCAAAGTGATGCCGGCCAAAACAACCTCAAATGGAAGCATGGAGGAGGTTTGCTTTTTCCTGTGTGAAATGCTCTCCTACTCAAGGCATTCCCCAGCATGGTTTTGTCTGGCTGATGCTGAACTCAGTCCAGGCTCTAGCCCAAGGCTTGATCTTTTAAAAATCAGAGGTCTGAAGATATATTACTAGTAAGTTAGGACAACTCAGGGAAGATGCCCCCAAATACCTAGAGTGGAGGAGGGAGAGAAGCAACAAGCAGCAATGGAGATCATCTAGAAACTACACATTCTTCTTCGTTATGGTAATTGACAAGTAAGTCTTGTCGATTACTGTCCTGAGACAAACAGACCCAGCACATTCTCTCCTTCTGAAAGAAGGTCTTTTCTTATAATAGGTTCATAAAAATTCTTCATCTTAAGGCAAAGGTGGTTTGTGGGTTCATCTATAAATACATTCACTAAACAAGTACTTATCTTGTGCCTGGCCCAGGCACTGGGGAGAGATCAATGCAGAGGAGGAACAGGGTTCCCACTCTCGTGGACCAGACCGCTGTAACGGGCACCTCACAACCAGAGAGTGCACTTCCTCTCATAGCTGGTCTTACTCAAAGAGGCCATTTGGGAAGAAAATTAAAACCATTTCTATTACCATGAAAACCTTGAGGGATTTTAATGTTCTAAAGCATGTCTCCCAAAAGACCTCCTTGTCTATATAGCAAATGAACATACTTCTGAGCAAATGACAAGCATGAATATTTCTAAGCATGAATAGAAATGAGGAGACATACTCTCCTCCACATGGGTTTCCAGATGGTAGATTCATCCTATTTCAAAACCTGCATGAAAATTCTGCACTATTGTATAAAAATGCATTGGTTGATGTGACCTAAAGGATCAAATTATCTAACTCTGAAAAGTAACATTATTCACCAAAAAATGGTCTGAACGTTCAAGCAGAAAAAAAAAAATGATCTCCTCTAGCTCGGTATGGAAAATTAGTTTACACACCGTCTCCTAACTGTTCCAGCTGTGCTAAATAAGAGCTATCATATTTAGTGAAGACACCACCTTAAATTCTTGTGATTTTGGTAAAAGGGTCTAATTATTTTTTGAAACTGTCATTTTTTTTTTGAGCAAATAATCCTAAACCTTTTCTTACCCCGAGAAATGCTTGCACCTTCCCAAGTGAGGAGGATTATTAGAAGGGTTATAGTCATCGCCAACCTTCTCCTACAGTCACCCACTGTATTTTTATTTCCCACGGATACACATCAACATCTGTCACCATAAATAATACTTTTCATTTGCCACTTTGATTCCAGAGTCAAAGAAAAAAGTCCTTAGTTAAAATATGTATCCTCCAATGGGATGTTCTCTCATCCTCTCGAATGCCTTCTAAGAGTATAGTTACTTAAAAATGAGAGTTTCGTGCTCGGGAATACCGTACTTCCTTTTGTGTGCCTCATATAGTTTCCTTAGCTCTTCCATGTAGGTCTGATGCAACTCCTCAATCTGCTCCGGGCTTGGGTGCAGAGTCTGATGAACAGGGATTGGGCGGCCAACTGCAAAAAAGAGAACACAGCCGACGTAAGAAAACGAAACCACTCCACCACAAACGGCTACCTCTCACGGACGGCTCTGGAAAGATCTGCCAATCAGACTCTGTCAGGCCTGCCTGCTCCAATCCCTTGCTCATTTTACTGGCTGTCTCCAACAGTCACACCATCCCATTTGAGAACCAATAAAGAACTTTCCTTCTCTACAGTTGCTGGAGTGGAAGGCCGCTGGTGGTTTTGACTTGAGTCAAGCGAACTACTGGGCTGACCACAGCTGTGAGGTAAGAGGACATAGCTGTGTGCGAACATCACCAGCCCTGTCCCTCTCGTACAGCTGATGGCCCGGCCACAGTACCCTATTGTGACCCACTCCGAAGTCTCAAGTCGTGAGGCATCAGCCCTCTCCTCTGACTCTTAAAATTTCCTTCTAAAAATTTAAGGAATGTTTATCTTCACAGCTAAGAATCTGTATTAGAAAACACACACAATCACAAGAATCCCACTGTTAAGAGTGGAAAACAAAACTAACCAGAAGTCTCAGTAGAAAATTTATTAAATAAACCGCGGAACACTCATGCAACAGAATCCTAGGCAGCAATTTTTTTGAAAAATGAAATTGTATGTGTACACACACACACACACACACAGCGAGGTCTAAAAGGTATGAAGGGGGGGCAAGTTGTGAAATAATACAGTATGATCCCATTTGTGAAAAGATATTTATATTCCTAAGTGCGTAATAAGCTTTAGTGCATTTAAAAAGTCTAGAGACTTTTTTTTTAACACTGTATTTTATTTTTTTATTTTTTTTAAGACTTTATTTATTTATTTGAGAGAGAGAGAATGAGAGAGCACATGAGAGGGGGGAGGATCAGAGGGAGAAGCAGACCCCCTGCTGAGCAGGGAGCCCGATGTGGGACTCGATGCGGGACTCGATGCAGGACTCGATGCAGGACTCGATGCAGGACTCGATCCAGGGACTCCAGGATCATAACCTGAGCCGAAGGCAGTCACTCAACCAACTGAGCCACCTAGGCACCCCAAGTCTAGAGACTTTTTAACCATTACCTCTAGGAAGGAAGGAAGGTAGAGATGGGGGACTTTTCAATTTATCTGTATGGTAGGAGTTTTCTACAATGAGAATGCATTTGTGTTTTACCTGTAATTAAAAATGAGCTAATTGGGCACCTGGGTGGCTCAGTTGTTAAGCGTCTGCCTTCAGCTCAGGTCATGATCCCAGGGTCCTGGGATCGAGTCCCACATCGGGCTCCCTGCTCGGTGGGAAGCCTGCTTCTCCCTCTCCCACTCCCCCTGCTTGTGTTCCTGCTTTCACGATCTCTCTCTCTGTCAAATAAATAAATAAAATCTTTAAAAAAAAAATGAGCTAATTATTATGTAACCTGGCAACTTCTATACATATTTAAAAAGGTGTTTAGATTGTGTCTCAGACTGTTTGAAACCTTGTTACAAGATACACGTAGCTTTGGCACCTGCTTTCCTGGGTCTTCCCAGCTCACCGCGCCCCCTGCTGCTTCCTGATGCCAAGAGTTGAGAACCTACAGGATATTCGGTGACATGCTGGGCAGCAAACAGCTTCTTATTACCCTCTATTAACTTGGGTATGAGGTCAAGTGGGGCCATAGATAATGGAATGGAACTCAGAGGGCAGAGAGGAGGTTTCCTCTGGCCTACTCTAGGTTGTTCCATGCTACATCCAAGGTTCAAATCCATGTCAGTAACAGAAGGTGTTGAGTTAAGGGAAAACCAAGCAAATGTTAATGCAGAGAGAAAGAAGGAAGTAATAAATGAAATCAGCATGGGAGGTAAGGTGGCACGGAGAAGAGAGGGAAACACACAAACACACATATGTAACAGAGTGTATTTTTTTTTTTAAAGATTTTATTTATTTATTTGACAGAGAGAGAAAGCACGAGCAGGGGGGGTGGGAGAGGGAGAAGCAGGCTCCCCGCCGAGGAGGGAGCCTGATGCAGGACTCGATCCCAGCACCCTGGGATCATGACCTGAGCCGAAGGCAGACGCTCAACCATCTGAGCCACCCAGGCACCCTAACAGAATGTATTATTAAGAAGATTATCTATCTATCTAACGCTGCAGTAAGGAGATAAATACAGACATACATAGTAGATACATACCACCTTACTGCAGTATTAATATTCTCCAATTGCTAAATTTTTCATCAGATACAGCCTCAAGAATCTCACATACAGTTCTCTTTTGATAGCCTGGATGTCAAATTTACATAGAGCGGACATCAGGCCTTTGTAACTCAAAAGAAAGCACAGGAACTGTCTTGCTGTCAGTTGTAGTTGGAAATACAGATGAGGAGAGGCTAACGGGGTGATGGTATAGAATAGGAGCTGGTGCTCGACAAAGGGCGCTAGACTAGACCAGTACACTGAGCTAGTAAGTACTTTCCTCGCTGGCCTTAATTCTGACATCCATAGGATAAAAAAGTAGAACTCCATGATCTTGAAACCTCCTCCTAACTCTGACCTTTTTGTTTCAAGGGAAAAAAACACACTGAAGAAATCTACATGTGAATTGAGACTCTATTAGGCAATGACAACAGGCTAGCAAATTCAGTTTTACAGAACTAGCTCCTGGTAAGTGAAATTGACTAAAAAGAAAGGTCAAGTGCAACCATTCAAGGTGGGTGGGGGGGACTCAGAAAGAGACTTAGTGGTCTGAGAAGCTGAAGTGTGTTGTTCCCAGCTTAAATTAAGACTCGTGAAATCTGAATTATTAAGTCTTACTTCCTATCAGCTACACTACAGCTAACTTCAATGCTGTTCTTATTCACGGGCTCACTCTATTTCACATGGTTCTTCTGGAGAGCTCAAACATGCCCGTGACTTCTCCCTTTAAAGTGGGAGATGGGCAGCTTCATCCTTGCCTTTTTCTTGTTTACCTGTACAGAAACAGAGATGCTGGAAATTCCCAAACTATACAAAAAGAACGGGAATTTAGGATGTAAAGCCAGTTCTCCTGCCCCTCCTACGAACCCAAAATTGGATTCGAGAGTAAGAAATCGTTCTCAATTACTTGTTAGGGATAAAGACAGAGGTCACAAAACAAAAACTTGCAAATCTGAGAAGGGTCCCCAGAGCCCTAGAAGACCAAAATTCATTCTCTCTCTCTCTCTCTCTCTCTCCCCAAAAAGATTTTTTACTACTAAGGAGAAGAAAACAAAGCTAAGACTAGTTAGTTGCAAACTGCCCTGTAACTCTCTTTTTACAACACAAAAGAAAAAACCAGCTGCATCAGGCTGCTCTTGCAAATAGAACTCCTTGCCCTGGAAAAATCAATCATCATCTCCTTGTGGCAAAGTCAGGAATCATAGTGCTCCTGTTTATGTTTCGGGGCTTTTTATAGCTGGCGTGCATGTTTGTTCCATTTTCCAATTCCATCCAGCAATTCAAGATTAGTTATGCACTTATGGGCTCACACAGCAGTCTCGCCCTTTTTCTATGGTGCTGTGTTGTAGTTAACCAAGATGAAGAATGAGCAGCTTCATAGGGCACTGCATACATGACTGGAGAGGAATTTGGAAATGGGCATCATTTTCTTCTCGTTGAGGCAAAGAGTAGATCTTTTGCAATAAGAAGTCTTTACTCTATTTTTCTTTAATTATGAAAATTCCACAGAGTTTATCGCTCTAACAGTCTCACACAGGAATTAGCCTTCCTCTGGATGCCACACGAGAGAAAGGCCAGCCTGTTGGCAGAGGCGGTTGGGAAGAGTCAAAATGTGGGTGCCAATGAAACCTGGGTTTACTGAACCTGTGACTTATGGTGGAGGCTCAAATATGCCGGATGTGAGGAAAGAGAGAGAGTGTGTGTGTGCTTCCATACATTTATTGAACACTTAATGGGTTGTATTGGGCACGATGTTAATCCCCTTAACGTTTTTATCTCCTTAAATCGCTACTTTACATTTAAATTTAAATTAGGTTCCCTTCCTTTCTTTGTATTTCAGAGAATCCCTTAGCCTGCCTTCCCCACCCCCCATCAGGATATAATAATGACTTGAAATACAATGGACCACTTTGTCCTCAAGTGCTTTCAAACCAGTTTTATTTTATTAAAGTACATTCCTTTCCCTATCTTTATGTTAAAAAATTCAAAATTAGGGCGCCTGGGTGGCTCAGTTGGTTAAGCGACTGCCTTCGGCTCAGGTCATGATCCTGGAGTCCCGGGATCGAGTCCCGCGTCGGGCTCCCTGCTCGGCAGGGAGTCTGCTTCTCCCTCTGACCCTCTTCCCTCTCGTGCTCTCTGTCTCTCATTGTTTCTCTCAAAATAAATAAATAAAATCTTTAAAAAAAAAAATTCAAAATTATAGAAAGAATAAGCACTTGCATACGCTTCCTTAGATTCACCAGTTTTGAACATTTTGTGCATACCCCCGTGTGTATTTACATATGTTTTTTTTTTTTTTAAGATTTTATTTATTTAATTAAGAGAGAGAATGAGAGAGAGAGCACAAGAGAGGGGAACAGGAGAGGGAGAAGCAGACTCCCCGCCGAGCAGGGAGCCCGATGCGGGACTCGATCCCGGGACTCCAGGATCATGACCTGAGCTGAAGGCAGTCGCTTAACCAACTAAGCCACCCAGGCGCCCCTATTTTTATTTTTGTAGACCCGTTTGAAAATAAGTTGTAGACATCAATGGTTCAATCGCGTTACCATCCCTAAATATTTCGGCACAAAGTACCTGAGAACAAAAACACTGTCCTTTTTAACAACACCACTATCATACCCAAGGAACTTAACCTCTATATGATATTATTTTGTACTGAATCCACATTCAAACTTGATGAGTTGTCTCAATGATATCCTTACAGTTGCTTCACCCCCCTCCCCCCACCATGACAGCTGTTGTGTCTTTGAGTTCTCTTGTCCTTTTGGTCTTTCACGACATTAATATTTTTGAAGAATCCAGGCCAGTTGTTTAATACAATGTCTCACAATCTGAATTTGTCTCCTCATG